AAATGCTTCTTCTAAGTATGTGGTTATTAAATAAATAATTTTAAAAAATATGACTAAAGATTTAAATGGACACCAAATAAGATATATGAATGGCGATAGGAGATGCTCCGCCTTGTTCTTTTTTAACATTTTATTTATTATTTTTATTTTATGTGTATGAGTGTTTTGCCTGCATGTAAGTGCACCCCGTGTGTGCAATGCCCTACACAGGCCAGAAAAGGAAGTCGGATCCAGAGTTGCATATGGTTTATGACTAAAGATTTAAATGGACACCAAATAAGATATATGAATGGCGATAGGAGATGCTCCGCCTTGTTCTTTTTTAACATTTTATTTATTATTTTTATTTTATGTGTATGAGTGTTTTGCCTGCATGTAAGTGCACCCCGTGTGTGCAATGCCCTACACAGGCCAGAAAAGGAAGTCGGATCCAGAGTTGCATATGGTTATTAGCCACCACATAGGTGATGGAAATTGAATCCGTGTCCTCTGGAAGAACAGTAAGTGTTCTTGACTGCTGAGCCATCTCTCCAGCTCCTCAGTGTCATTCTTCATTAGGAAAATACATGTTAAAACCACAGATACCACCACACACCTACTAGATTAACTTTGTGAACATGCCAAAAATAAGATCACTTCTGAAAACAGTTAAGGATAGAGTTACCTTATAACCCTGTAATCTCATTCCTAGATGTTTTATCCAATGTAAGTGAATACTTACATTTACACAAAATCCTGTGCATGAATGTATAGATTAATGATTGCTCCAACTGGAAACAACTCTAATACATTCATTAGTAAATGGGAAAACAAACTGGTACTTCCATACAGTGAAATACTACTCAGAAGCAGAAAGAATATGCTAATAATGCATACACTTGTATGAATCTTGGAGACATTAGGATGAATGAAGGAAATCAGACTCAAAAGTTTCCATAGCATTTATGACATTCTAGAAAAGGCAAAACTGCTGGGTGTGGTAGCACACACCTTTAATCTCAGCACTCTAAACATAGCCATCATTCAGAATTTCCATCCAAGGACACATAGTTTACTGCTCTTGTATCCTGTGTGAGAGAGTCAGCACTCACCTCTTCTAGGTTCAGAGACCAAGCTTCAGCCATCCCCAGCTGACAACCACCAGATGTGTGAACAAGGTTCCTAGGACAGTGCAGCCCCAGCTAAGCTCCTGGCTCCTTACTCCTGTGAGTGACAAGGTAAGACTAGAACTGCCCACTTGAATCTAATCCAATTTTCTGACCCATGGAACTAAGAACAAATAAAATGGTTGCTGCTTCATCACCACGTTTTAGATGTGGTTTGTTATATGGCATTGAGTAACAAATCAATAGAATATCATCCAGGAAGGAGGAAAGTTATAGTGAATTTTACACACACACACACACACACACACACACACACGAATTTTATTTTAGAGATATTATGAGCAATCCTGAGGAGTTTGAGAGAAAAGAGTATATTAAGAATTCATTATCAGGCCTCGTGTGGTGGTACATACCTTTAATCCCAGTACTCAGGAGGCAGAAGCAGACAGGTCTCTGTGAGAACAAGGTGAGCCTGGTCTACATAGTGAGTTCCAAGCCAGTTGGGGCTACAGGGAGACCCTGTCTCAAAAAAGACCAAATACAAAATCCAGAAAAACCTCATTGTCAAAGGATTCTGTATGTTTTCCTTCACACATCCAAAGTAATGTATTATGTCGATCATTTGTGTAGTGATGTGTTGAACCTTGTGATCAGATGTTATAAGTGTTCAGAAACTAGACAACAAACAGAGAAAATCTGAGATTGGCTGCAAGAACCAATAATTTAAATAGTACATAGGAACACTAAGAAGAAACACTGTGGTTATTGTAATAGGATTTCAAAGCCAGAAATTAGATTCACATGCAGAAGAGGAAGGAATATTTTAGACTCAAGGAAGAATTCTTTGATACAAGAACCCACCAAAAATAAACTGTGCTGCCTCAAAAGTCTGTGGGCCCCTAATGGAAACTGTCAAACAGCCTGTGTGATCACAGAGGCATTTCCTCTGATGAGCGTGCAGATGACCCTCCACAGAGTAAGAATAGGTGTGATCATTCTGAGTTTCTTCAGACTCTTAGCTTTGCATTTTTTTGTATTGTTACCTGGCAACCCAAGAGTAATAGTGATATTTTAAGAACTTAGATTTTTACAACTGCTGTCCTTTTAATTAGACTCTCCATATATCCCCCTGTGCAATTGTTTTCCTTCATAATGTGTAGAAACAGGAGCTGTTTTGAGGACTGAAATGAAAACAAGCTGGAGATACATTGACTCTCATGATTTCAGCTTTCCTAATGACCACGTACAGTACAGATTGTTGGAAAGAACAGAGAAAATGATCACATCTACCCTGCCTTGCTATATTTAAACGGGAATGCAAATGGAGCCAATTTAGTTGGCATATGAACTCTGCCATTGACACTACTGTTGATCACTGTTTTGAAATTCTGGGAGGGGGGTTATATTTATTTATTTATTTGTTTGTTTGTTTGTTTGTTTGTTTAGTGTGTTTGTGTGTTTGTGTGTGTGTGTGTGTGATGTGTTGGTGTATACATGTGTGGGGAATGCATGTGTAGAGGTCAGAGGAAAACTCCATTACGTGGATTGAACTCAGGTAGTCAGGCTCAAAAGTAAATGCCTTTACCTACTAAGTCACCACCAGCCCTGTTTTTGTTTGCTTGTTTGTTTTGGTATTTTTTGTGTTTGTTTGTTTGTTTGTTTTCTCCTTGTAACTCCAGCTGGCCTGGAACTCACTATGTAGACCAGGCTGGCCTCTGTCTCACAGAGATCCACCTGCCTCTGCCTCCCAAGTCTGGGATTAAAGGCGTGTGCCACCACATCTGGCCTGTTTTGAAACTCTTAATTGTGAAAAAGGAGCCCAGAAATTCTGAAACTGATCCTAATTACGATCTTTATCAGGGGCTCCTCACCACCCCCTCATTCCCTATTACCTACCACCTGACTTCTACATTTATAGTGGAATAGAAGTTCTCTCAAGATCACTATTATCAAGTGTCCTATTCCCCAGTCTTTCCTTATCCTTGTGCATTCTCTCCTGTTTGAAGCATCTGACACTGTGATCCTTTGCATGCCCTGTTTGCTTCTCTCTGAGTCTGTCTCATTATGCTTTCCTGTTGTCTCTGAATTTGTTTGATAAAGTGAAGTCGAATGATGGACTGAAGTTGATAGTCCCAATACATGCCTCATAAACTATGCACAAGGACACATTGACACTCCCTCCCACCCAGACTCAGTGACAAAATGATTGCCAAATGGATACTTAAAAAACAAAAATGAGTTTGTACCTTGGCTAGCACTACAAATTCTATCAGAGTTCCTTAGGTTTGGGTTTGTTTTCTTTAATATAACAATAAAGTGAAAGACATACCAAAGTTGTTATCCGAAGAATATATAAATGGTCTTAAATTCCCTCTAGTCTCCTTCACAAAATAATCAATGACACTGAAAAGGTTTGGGAGTGTTACCTGTATAAAGAGAAAATGAGAGGCGGCTCAGTGCCTGAGTAAATATGAAGTAAGAGATGGTCCACTGTAGTCTAATGGGGATTGTCTTATGTTTCCTGGCCTCCAGAAAGTCAGGGTAGTATCAAACATCAATGACTTGCTGAATGGTCATAATTTTCTTACCCATGTCTATTTCCCCTTTTCAATGTCTATCTGATCACTCTCTATTGAGAAATTCTTCTCATTGGATGCAGTCTAGTGCTTTCCCCAATTAAAACAGAAAAAGGACTCAATTTAGGCAAAAGGATGCCCCCTTTCTGAAAGTTGAACTTCGAAGGAACAAGAAAGAGTAACAGCTTCCAACCAAATGGCTTCCTAGTCCTTGAAGAAATAGCTTTCAGAATATTTATAATAAGAAACTTCTATAGTCTCACAATATTCATTTTTTCTTTAAATTGGGCATAATTTGTTTCTTCTACTTAAAATTAAAAAACTTAAGCATTTTAATCCTTCATTGTATCAGGATAATTTAGGGGTCTGAGAGCCACTAAAATGTCTCTACCTCATAGATCAATACTTGTATACAGGTAAAATCTGGTTAAATCTGAATATCACAAGTAATCTTGAAGACATAAAGTAATTCATAGAAATACAATGTGGTTGAAGAGTGGGGTTAGGAAGAACTCGAAAAAATGAAAAAAATAATCCAGACTTATTTTCCTTCCACTGTGGAAATGTATAGGCCAATGACAAAGAGCCTAGTTCACTGCTTACAAAGACGCTCTGATTACACTGTTCCTTACTGACATCACTTCTACCCACTTGTTGGGCTCATCCTTCAGCAATCTAGTCTAGTGCTTCCTTATTGGAGCTTTGCTTACAAAGCCCAATAGGAGCCAGGTCGGGTGGTGCACATCTATCAACCCAGCACTTAGGGGACAGAAGCAAGAAGATGGCAAGTTCAGGGCAGGCTGGGATACATAGGGAGATCCACAGACATGGATCTGAGAAGTTTTGGAGGCATTTATGAAAAAATGTGACCTGTGTGAATCCCCAGCTCTCTAAGGGTTGCAGTCAAAACATAAGAAATTCTACCACACTGTCCCTTATTTTATGTAAAACAACAAGCTGGAGAGGCAGAGGAACTAGGATCTAATTTTCGAGAAATACTAGGATACATCATTTAACACTTTCGTGGCTGAGATTAGTGTAAATGCTGGTTTTCACCCCTGTAGAGTTGGCATAGCAATATCTACTTTCAGGCAATGAACAGATTAAACTGCATATGGAAATTACTTAGCTCTGTACCTCACATTGTACTGGAGGTTAAGACTGTGCCATTAACCTCATGGCATAACTCATCTATACTGAGAGAAGGCTTGAAGACAAAGAAAAAAAATTGTTCTCCTAGTAAGCTTCTGGTAAAGGGAATTCCTGAGCTTATGCATGGTAGATACAAAAGGACTGGGAATTCACAGATTTCTTCCCTTCACATAGAAGCACATTTAAATGCTTATATTAAAAAAAAAAAGGATGTAAAACAGACATTGGATAAAATTAGTTTTCTCTCTCTGAAACAATTATATTAATGATTAACAGAGAAAGAAAAGTGAAAATAACTTTGAAGCAGGTTTATCTAATCAACCTCAACTGCCAATTCTTATAAGATTTATTTATAATTTTTATTATATGTGTATGAGTGCTTTGTCTGCATGTATGTGAGTACACCATGTGCATGCAGTGGCTATGGAGGTCTGAAGAAGATACCAGATTTCCTGGAACTGCAGTTACAGATGGTTGTGAGCCCCAATATGGGTGCTGGGTACAGAACCCAGGTCCTCTGCAAGAGCAGTCGGTGCTCTTAACTCTGTTCCAGATCCACCTGCCTGGATGTCTCTTCTAACCCCTTGTATCTCCCACTTGCAGGACTCCTTGCCTCTTAACCAGCAAGAGTCCCTAAGGCAGACAACTCTTTTCCCACTTTTCTCTGTATTTTATAAAGGTAGGTTTGGAAGGCAACAGGAGAAAGTATATCAACAGTCAAGAAATAACTACTTACAGGTTTTTCCAGTTCAATGGTGTAGTTTTCTCCAATGCTCATCACTTTGTAGTGCTTGATTCTTGGTGTGCTAAAATGAAACAAATAGTTGACCCCCCTTTGATTATATAATTGAGCGAATGCAATCATGTAATGTGCCATGTATACTAAACTTGTGTCCTCACAACCTCACAACTACAGTTTGGCAAGTGGCAATTGCAGTTTGGCAAGTGGAATCCTTTTTTTTTTTTAATTTATTTTAACTATCTTTCTTTAAGATGAATGGTTATTCATGAGGAGGCATAAGAAATTTAGGTCAACAAGGAAACAGTTTTCCAGGTGGCTGGGAACTTGTTCATATGAACTTACAGCAATGGTGGCAGCGTGCACAAGACCCATATAAACTCAAAATAGACAAAAACCCAGCCATAGAACTGGGGAAATGGGCAATAAGCCCCATCCTTATCTGGGGAACTATTGGAAGGTGATCACTGCTGGGTGAGGGAGAGGTGGTCTTTAAGGGAGTGATGCTAGATAGGCTGAACAGACTCCAGTGGATAAACTCACACTTAGGGACATCTGGGAATATAGACTTGCCTCTATACATGACTTTAACATATATGACAGAATGCATGAAATCTGGAGGGGGTGCTCTTGGGGTGAAGATAGGGAAGGGGGTCTAAATATGATAAAGATGTATTGCATGGAATGCATAAAAATTCAATAAAAATATAAATTGTAAAAGAAAGTTGATTGGTGTATTTGATTAAATCATTTCAACTCAGTGTCAAAAAAGAAATTTGGGTTACTAAGCAGGTGAATGAAAAAATAAAAGATAAAAATCAAACAGTAAAAATCTTTGGTCATAATTTTTAAAATGTCAATAACATAAAATAGACAATATAAAATCATGAGAGGCTGGAGATGTAGCTCAGTTATACAGCACTTTCCTAATACACAAGATCCACTCATTACTACTTAAAAAAGGACCCCAAGGAATGACAAATCTTATGTAGACATATACAAACAAATACTCTACTCCTTATATTAAAAGAAAAGTAGAAAGAATTATTGAGAGCAAAAGTATTCTAACTCATCACTCATCCATCCAGATAGCCCTCCGTGGCAGGAGAATGTTCAGTATAGTAGCAGAGGGTGGGAATGTAAGTATGGCAGATGCATCTTACCTTCTTCCGCTTCTTCAGCTATAGAACACAAAAGTTTTACCACCTTAAATATATGATTTCTTGTTATGAACTGCTTCAGAAGAAGAAATCAGTCTATTCATCACTGTACCCGCAGCATTATATACATAACAAATATTTTAAAACCTAAATTTAAAAAATATTAGGAGCTCAGTTCATAGTGTTATGTGTTAGAACTTAATGAGTTTATGCTGAGCGAAGGCGTGAGTCAGCATGGCTTTGAATAACAGCATGTTTGTCTTGAATTCCTTTGATTTATATGGAAAGCGTGTTTAGGACCCAAACTTTTTCCATTTACTATGGTGTAATTTGTCTGAAAGGCAAACTAATTCAATATTTGCCTTACGCTTAGAAGTGATCTAAATTAAAATTTCAGGGAGAGGCAGGTGGATCTCTGTGAGTTTTGGTCTTTTTGAGACAGGGTCTCCCTGCTACAGGGAGACCCTGTCTCAAAAAGACCAAAAGAGAAAAACCTCATTGGGTTAAGCTGTCTATAGAGCCTATATACCTTTATATATATATATCTTTCATTTCCAGTTCATGTTCCTGAACTTCTATTCAGGGGCTTTCCTCATTCGCCATTATGCCCAAATCTACTCTCAACCAGATCCACATTGGAAACAATCATTAATGCTGATGGCCTGCTTTCAAAACATGGGATGAACCTTGCTCAATCTTCTCCCTTCAAAAGAAAACATTCTTTGATGCTAAAATGTCATTAATCAGTTACAGACAGGCAGAGGAAGCATTTTTGGACAGAGGAGGTTTGACATGTACTTCCTTGGGGTGATTGGCTCTGGCTTTATCTTTACTGTTACCATGAAAGCTCTTTGTAATCTGAAAACTCCAGTTTCAATTAGGATTCCCGTATGCTACACAATAAGTTACTGCTACTGTTTGGGAAGTTGGCAGAACACTTGGTTCAAATTCTGTTTCTGTCATATGTGCTCTCTAAATGTATTTGTATGCTTGTGTATATGTGTTCACTCTGTATAATGGAGATGATAGTGGCTTACGTCACAGGGCTCTTGTGGGTCAATGCTTACAAAGCCCTTAACAGAGTACCTAACACAGTTAAACACTCATTAAATTAACATTCTTTTTTGCTACATATTGCCTTATTTTGGTGGTTTCTTCCAGTCTCAGCCCTTTCATTGTAAAGAATGGAAAACAGTATTTGTCTCAATTATTCTATTGTGACTGGAGGGTATATTTGCAGCATTCAACACAGGGTGTATAAAGGGTATTATTTGAGAAACAGCAATTAGTAGTTATTAGTAGTTGTTAGTGTAGTATCATATCATATCATGACATCGTATAATCATACATGGAGAGCTGTGGGTGAAAGCTAGCAAAGGTCAGCAGAGGCTCTTGGGACTTTATGAGTAGCAGTACTAAATTTTGAAGTAAAAGGTAAGGCAGAAAAACAATTCCACTGAACTTTCATAGGCTGTGTCTCTCATTTTAGAACATACTTGTCCTCTAGCTTTTTGTTTATTTGCTTGTTTGATTGATTTATTGATTGGTTTTCCAAGGAATAAAGACAAAGGAAAAAGTAGGATAGTTTAACTTTCTGATTATGACTTGAAGAATAAAGTAAAGCCAGATGAGGTCAGCACAACTTTAATCCCAGGATTTGGGAGACTGGCCCTGGAGGATTACAAATTCCAGGTCAGCCTGGGCTACAGAAGAGATCTAGTTTCAAAAACAAACAAACAAAAATTTAGTATTTTTTAAAATGTGGCCTTAAATATGGTTCTTAAGTATTTGTTCTTAGTTTCTAACCTCAATTTTAACAAAAGACAGACTTTGTGATAAAGATTTTCTGTTGCTTCTTTAGCTAATAATGACACTACAAAAATGTAAATGGCCCCTAGTCATAACAAATTCACAAAAAAACAAAACATGGAGTTTATGTCTTATGAGTTCACATGCTACTGGGCTGAGTGAGGATGGATTATATTCTACACTGAGAAAGAAGACATCAAATAATTTGGCATTGATAAGTATTGTTTATTCCTGAAAATAGCTTTCCCTCCTACAGCTGACCTGCCAACACATGGAAAAAAAATTACTTTCAAATACTGCTTTGTAAACCAACTTGTCCTTTCCAGCTAGTGTTTACCAGACTCACTTGCATGGCTGAGCAAATCTCCTGTAACCTGTATGAAAGAAAATGAACTGGTTTTGTGGGAAACAGAGATATTTCCCAAGAGTCTAGATCTCCACCAAAATATTTACATTAAGCTCTCTGCTATTAGCAAGCTATAATTCTAGTACTCTCTCAGATAGCTATCCTTAAAAGTCAAGTGATGTATTAAATAGAAGATGCTAAATTCAGGCATTCTAAAAGGCCTACTTTGATGTATTGCACAACACAGGACTGTTACCATATTATCAATCCTTAAGTCCTAAGATTCATGGAATAACAGGGAAGAGTGATCCATTACACTTCCTTGAATAAATATTCTCAGAAGGCTAAATTGACACATATTCACTCTGGTGTTCAAATGCTTCAGTTTTCACCATCATACTTTGACTTCTGCTTCCTAAATATGAACTTGGAAGTTGTTCTATAAAACAGCATAGGTGTAGCAGGGTTCAGAGGTTAACGTCACTGGCTGCTTTTACAGAGGACCCGAGTTCCAGTCTCATCACCCACATGGAGACTATCTGTAACTCCAGTTCTAGGGAGATCTGATTCCCTCTTCTGAGCTCCGAGGGTTTGCACAACATGGGTACACTTACCTACATGCAAGCAATACATTCATACACATAAAATAAAAATAATAAATAAAAAAAATGGGGGGGTGTTTTTGAGACAGGATTTCCCAGTAGCCCCAGCTGGCCTGGAACTCACTATGTAGATCAGGCTGGCCTTGAACTCACAGGGATCTGTCTTTCTCTGCCTCCCGAGTGCTGGGATTAAAGGCATGCACCACCACGCCTGGCATAAAATATTTTGAAAATATTATAGATGTTTATGAACATTGGCTGATTTCAAACTGAAAGTGAGATTGCTAAAATGGGAATTAGGTAACTTTAACAAGAACTCCTTTGCCAAATTCTTTCTTATGAGTTTAAAATGTGGCTTAAATACAATACAAACATACATAAAATGATGGCATTAATTTCATCTCTTAAGTGCAGATATTCATTGCATTTGGCTGTAATCCACATTTGCAGCAGAAAACACTGTTGCTTGTCATAACTCAGCTGTGTGGAAAATGCAATGCAGGGTGGTGCTAATTTAGACAGCCTTCAGGGAGACCAAGCACCAAGTTGCTATTGTATAGGAATTAGGCAGTATTGAGCCTTTAAGGAGCCACTGGGTCCTGAGATTTTGTTCATTTAGTGAAGAATAGTAACATATGGGTCCCATGAAAACTAATCAAACAATCACATCAAGAGAGGAGTAACATGAGGGGAAAAATAATGACTTGTGTGAATTAATTTTGCTTTCAATCAGTTTGTGTTTCTTTATCTATGTACATTTTAATTTAGTTTATGTATCCTCTAATTTTTTTAAAGTGGCAGTCTGAATCTAAAAGCGTTTTTGTGCTTTACCTGATACTCAGTTTCCTACACCTTGTAAAAGGACCAGCTCCTTGACTAGGAAATACAAGATGGAAGACCACTTTCCACTCAGGAGGTCTAAGATCACTACAAGATCACTACTTATTTGCACCTAATAACTTTTATTCCTTTTGAATTTGCTTCAAAATAGCTTATTAAGTTATAACTCTAATGGACTGTAACTTCAAAACTGTATAACATTCTACTATATTCCAGTAGAACTGAAAATTCATTGTGAATGTTTAGCTTATAATAATGTTATCATAGCATATGCTATTGGCTAACAAATGCCAGCTTACAGTAAATGGAAAACACAAGGAAACCACAAGAAGGTAGACACCTATTTACAGTGTAAAAATATACACAGATATACACAGATACGGGGGGGGGGGGGGGAGAGAGAGAGAGAGAGAGAGAGAGAGAGAAGAGAGAGCCAGGATCTGATTGATCACTTAACAATCTTGCCAACTGTTCATGACTGCTGCATAAAGACAAGTATCTATTTATATTAACTGGCCAGTAAATATACCTTTGAGGGCAGTGGCTCATAGTGCTATGATTTTAATTTTTCATCTAAAAAATTATTTACTTTTTATTGCCTTTCTCAACTTTCAATGTCTTCATATTCAATCTACTTAGAAAGACAGATGTTTATGGAGTAGATTGGTAGATTTATTGGTAGATGCATTGTAATACATAAATAGAATAAAATCCTAACGAATAATAGTAAATTCAAATACAAAATCCAAGTTATGCTTCTATAAAAAACATAGTCATCTATTGAATATTTAAATATGTCAAAAATCTGTATATATTAATTATATTATCAGTTATGGAAGTGTTACCTAAACCAGAATCTCTATTAAAGTGTAAGTTTTCAGACTCTGAAAGCTGGACTGCCTTTTTTTTTTTTTTTTTTGTCTTTTTTGAAGCAGGGGCTTCCCTGTAGCCCCAGCTGACCTTGAACTCTGTATGTAGACCAGGAACTCACAGAGATCCGCCTGCCTCTGCCTCCGGTGGGATCAAAGGCTTGCGCCACCATGCCCAGCTGCTGGAGTGGCTTTAAAAGATCCAAGCACCCTAATTAGAAAACGAACTTCGTGTGTGTGTCTCTCTGTGTGTGTGTGTGTGTGTGTGTACTGTTGTGCATGCACATGAGAGCACTTACATGCAGTATCCGCCTGTCTCCACATCTCCAGTGCTAGGGTTATTAGCACGCACTACCATGCATTGTTTGTTTTTAAGTGAGTTCTAGAGGTTGAACTCAGGTTATCAGGCTTGCATAGCAAGCACTGCACCGGTGGAGCTGTAGCCTCACTCTTGGCTTGTACATGTTTCTGAGTTTTTCAAAGGTAAACTATTTTACAAAAAAATTATTAGCCTTAACAAGGGGCTCTGAAGTAGCCCTTTTTGTAGATAAAGTATGTCAACATTCCGAGTAAAACTCTGTCCCTAAAGTGGCCTCTAGGGCTTTGGCCTGTGCCTGCCCTACCTTTGGAATCTCTGCTGCCTCAGCTCTTTGCCTACTTCATAGCAGACGCAACGGCATCTTTCTGCTTCTTGAACAAGCCAGGCTTGTTCTCTCAATGACCATTCTCTTATTCTCTCTATGACCATTCTATGTTAAACTATATTATTCTATATATTCTATATATTAGTCTATATTAAAACAATAGCAATCACAGAACTTTTCTTTTTTAAAATATTTTTTGATTTATTTTTATTTTATGTGTAGGAATGTTTTACCTGCATGTATACATGCAATGCCTGTGGAAGCCACAAGAAGCTCACAGATCCCTTGGTACTAGAGTTAGAGACAATTGTTAGCTGCCATATGAGTGCTGGGAACCAAACCCAGGTCCTCTACAAGCGCAGCTGTCTCTCCAGCCCCAGAACATTTCTCTTTATCACCTCTAAAGTGAAAGCTTTGCTTATATCACACATGCCTTCCTATTCTTGTGTTTATATTTGCAACCCTAACAGAATGCATTACAGGTACTGAGTGGAACCTGTGAGATTTTGGTCTCTAAAGCAATGTCTCTAAGGTCTCTAATGACATGCCCTTAACATTTTAATACATGTTTTAATTAAACATACTCTATCTCCTGGCGGATAGTGATGGAGTAGTTTCTGCTGTCACTACCAGGCCTCAGGATCATATTTCCCAAAGAAGGATTCTTCTCCAACATTTCAGTTGCTTCTTTCCGAGAAACTGCATAAAAACATCTACAGAGGTAAGGTTAAAAAAACAATTTTTTTTTCAATGGTGAAGAGCATTGCTTGAAAATAATGCTACCAACATACCTTTGAGAGCTATAGGTTTTTATATTTTAAACAAGGAGGACATGAAAAGCAATCTACTAATAGCAATTTACTATCTGTAAATAACCATAATTATCATTTGAAAACCTAAAACAGTAGCTAACAATGTATCCCCAGTCTTAGTTCACAACAGGATCTTGGATTATTTGCTGGTGGTTTTCTTGCAGGATTCCAAAGCATCTCTAAATGCTTCTTTTCCTGGGTTCTGTTTTAGACAACTGATAGTAAAACTATGTTTGAGCTGACTCCTTTTGGTATAATAGGTCTTTATAGGCATTGTGGTATTTGTATATATACAATTAAGAAATTAATTACTTGCCTTTTTATCATATGCATTGAATTCATACATATGAATATAATATGTATATCTATGAATGAATATATATTCAAACATATAATCAGGGAAAAATCTGGTAAAACATGATACATCTAAAATGTTGATACCAAATATCTTTTTGAGTGTTAGGACAATAAATAATTTTAATCATCTCTTTATCTGTAATAAACATATAACTTGTTTTATTGGGGCGGGGGGAGAAAAAGAAGCAGTCCATGTTATCTTTATTCTACTGATTGATCACTTATCTAGTTTGACCTAACAGCACTGATTAGCAGGTTTCAGTGACAGCAGTACAGATAGAACCTAATGTCAGAGATGGTCCCAGGACAAGTTTTATTGACAAGAACACCACAAGGGCCCATTACATTTTCAGCCATAAAGAAGATACACATGAGATGCTGCAGAATCCAGATGCTGTGTGCTACGTTTTTTAAACACTTGACATACATGGTTTACACAGGACCCTCCTGAAAGAGCAAGCTCAGTGATTGCTCACTGATCAATCAATTGAATGCAATGTTTTAAGAATCTAAAAATCTTTGGTATATTTGATGATAGAAATTCAGTCAAGTATAGAGTTGTATAGTGAAAAAATATATCTTTCTTCCTTCTTTATAGGAACCTTTATTTAGGTTTGAACTCCGGAAAGATACCTACTTGGTCTAGAGGTGTGGGCAGAAGGGGATTTCCTCTGTGGTAAAAGCTAGTTCAAATATGCATAATGTTGATCATGACATATGAGAGGAAATGTGGCAGGTACTCAGATATATATAGTTTATCCCCAAGACATTTAGTGTCCCTGGTGTAAAAAGTTCAAGTGGATAACTCTGCTTGACAATTAGAAATTAGTCTTAACAACTGCTTAAATAAACCTGTGCTGTGCACTTACGCTGGCATAGGGTTCAGTACATCCACATAATCTTCTACTGGCTCCTTCTCTTTTTCCACAGGCACAAGTGGTGGTAGCTGCTCTGTCTCGACCCTTCTTTTCTTTTCTCTCTCTAGGACTTCCTGCAGTCTAATTACTTGCCCAGGTAGAAGTGACACGTGTTGGGGAACTGATAGCTGAAACCAATTGAAAGAGTAGGTAGACAAGAAAGATCCTAAATAACATACTGGCTTTAGTAAAAATGAGCATGGGCATCCTAAGGAGCTTTAGTTACCTGGCAGTGATGAATGGATAGAATCACAAATAGAAAATTTTCCTCTAAGATTGGTGTCTTAGAACTGCCTCTACATCAACAGAATGTCCAGCCTTCTAAAGAAGTCTTCTTTTTGATCTGGTCTCAGGGAAAAGTACACATACCTTGTACTACAAGGTAACCGGAGTAGCAACCAAGCTCTCATTTTTCATCCAGAGTTGACTAGTTCAGTAATGCCAAGGAAGTTCACGAGCACCAGTGCAGTACCTCATTCTTTCACAAGTAAAACTCGGAAAAGCTCCGTCTTATTATGGCAACGTGGGTTTAAGATGAGACCAAACGTCGGATGACATGGGATCAGCCATTAGAGGTCTATGTTGTGGTATGTTCGCAGTATTCATGTATATTTTCTCATTATGGTACTTCTCTGATGGCAGTTTTGTTGTTGATGTTACCTTTTCTAGAAATGTGTTCTGAATCAAGTCATCTATATTTGGTCTTGTGAATTGTATTCATGTCCCCAATTTAGTTGGGGACAAGCTATGCTCTCTTGGGAAATGTAGTGCTAATGGTATAGTGTTTTTTTTTTTCTATATGTGACACTAGCTAGTTTATATTTGGAAGCAGCCATGTCTGATTTATCATCTTTACCACCAGGGGAGAACACAGACTTATGTGATATACATGAGAATTCATTTGAATGCAGTAAAAAAATAATAGAAATTCATTTCCATTTAGTTACTATTTCTCTCTGCATGTGTATTTGTGTGTGTGAGGTATGCATATATGTACATGAGGGTGGGAGTGAGCTTGTTCATGAATGTGTGTGTAGAGGTCAGAGTTCAACATCAGGTGTCTTTATCTCTTGCCACCACCACCTTGTTAGATAGTGTCTTTCACTGAACTGAAAGCTTGGCATTTTGGCTAGTACAGCTGGCCAGCAAGCCCTGGGGATCCACCTGTCTCTGCTTGCCCAGCACTGGGATTATGGACACTGACTTGTTTAAGATGCTGGCTTTTATGTGGGTTCTGGGGACCAAACTCAGGAGCTCATGGCTGTACAGCAAGCAATTTACCCAGTGGGCCATGTCTCCAGTCCCATGCTTAGTTACTATTTCATTACTTCATACTGTTATTTATATTTGAATCTGTATATCAGTACATATGAAATTTAAATAAGAATTTACTAGTACGGATACACAATCTAAAAAGATTTATATACCACTCTTCTAGATAACTAAGCTAACTAACAACCAAAGCCAAAATAAAATGGTGAGGAGGAAACTAATGAAACAACTATCTTTTATTCTATGTTAATATTTCTCTTACTTAGTGCATGTATCTGAAGTACTATATATATGTTATCAAAGATACAACAATGCTATAAAAAAGGTATTGCTATTTTCACTTTACAAATAAAAAAATAAAAACAGAAAATATGATCAGCTCAAACTCAGGTTCATTTGATTTTAGTGGCTCTGCGTTACTCACACTATTCCACTAAGGTCTGACATATGTTGCTTGGTTTTGTTGTTACTACCTTTTCTGTGTTTCAGATTGAGTCACCTGTATGTGTCCTCTTGAATTGCTTTCATACCTCCAATTTAATTCCTCATTATGACCAGTTATGTTCTCTTGGGGCATATAGTAAGAATGGTAGAGTATTTTTACAAATGAATTGTTCACATTCAGTAATCTGAGACCATTCCCCAAACAGTTACAGAGTCGGAAACTTGAGACAAATTGTCTTCTCCTGAAAATTCATATGGCATTTTAATATTCCATAATATATCAATGCTTTAATTAAAAAGTACCATTTTCTATCCTTATCGCAAGGAAAAATATGAATAAAATGGCCCAAACTTCAAGTATTGTTAGTGTATCAGGAAGATGTATCAAGACTTTTCCAGTGGGGTTAGTGTTTTCCTCCAGGCCCTTGGGGTACTTGTACCCACGCAATGGTACCCAATGAGGCCTTTCCACCACAGAGGGAGAAAGTACAATTCTCCTAACAGTTTCTTCTTCCAACCCCCACAAGTAAGCACGACCTCCACATGTTTAAAGCCTACTCTTTAAGCCTCTTAGGGCTACTTTGTATAGTAACTGAACCTCTAACCTTTTATCTGTAACTGGCTGATATAAAAAAAAACAGCATCTAGGCTGGGCGTGGTGCCGCATACCTTTAATCCTAGGACTCAGGAGGCAGAGGCAGGTGGATCGCTGTGAGTTCGAGGCTAGCCTAGTCTACAGAGCGGGTTCCAGGCCAGCAGGGGCTACAGGGATACCCTGTTTTAAAAAGACCAACCAACCAACAAACAACAAAAAAAAACCCCAGCATCCAGTACTGTAGTAAAGAGCTGAGGTTATGTCATATGACTGAAAGACTTTGCTCAGACATTAGTATTGGATAGAGCTGGTATTTGATCATAACAAACTTGGAATTTTTTCATTTATTCTAAAGGTAGTAGAGAACACAGTGCTTTGAGGAAAGCTGGTTATCAAAGTATCTCATGTTTTGATGACAGTTGCTATAGTGGCTTTATAAATTAATGGTAATCAGGTTGCTGAAGCAGTTCACTCTAAGCAGTAGTCTCTAGTTGCCTATGATAAGATGCCACTAGTGAATAGATAATTCTTTTGTTTTAGGAAGACTCATGTAACAAATATTTAAAGATGATTTTTCATTTTTATGGTTTCTTTCTTTTATAATGTCTATTTTATTCATAAAACCCACTGTAACACTTTTTATTAAAAAATAAGAAAAATACTGTAGATTACTTTAGAATCTACTATGTAAGCTACAAATGGCACCATGTGCAAAGAATCCCTGTGTCAAAAAGATAAGAGAGCAAAAGCAAATCTCCCTGACTCTCTGCTCACCAAGGTGTGAGGTAGGCCTGTGTTTGCTTACTTTTTCTTTCTCCACCCACCTGTTAAAAACATAACTTTCAAAAACAAGTGCAGCCACTCTCACCTGTATCCTTCACAGTAGGTGTTAGCAAATATTTGGTGAACAAATAAATCAGCAGAAGGTAATGACCTGCCACCAGGCTTGGTGGCTCACAGTGATGGTCTCAGCGCTGGGAGGGTTGAGTAGTCAGATCATGTGCTCAAGGCCAATATGGGCTATGTATTGAGACCTCGTCCCAACAGAAGAAAGGAATGTCTTCTTACCTCTGTTACCGTCAGAATGAAGCCTCTCCATTCTTCCCCACTTTCCATGTTTTCTGTCTAAAGATGAAAACAAAGATAAAGCAGAAAATGCATAACTATAAACATTAATAATCCGTACTAAATTCAAATAACTTTAGAATTTCACATGATTATTTTATGACAAAATGTGGCAGACACCAAAACCTAGCAAGGTTGAGGGGTAGAGAGATGGCTCTGTGGGTAAAATGCTTGCTGTGCAAGTGTGAGGACAGAGTTTGGAACTCCAGAAGTCAGGCAAAGTGCTGGACAGGCATGCAGCCCACCTTTCAGCCCAGCACCTTGCAGGAGAGGAAAGCCCCCCAGGACAAGTGGACTAGCTTACTTTGTGTGTTGTCTTGCTTGAAATTTGAGTAAACCAATGCAGAAATTTCCAATTCTTAGTTACAAATGTGATTTCTTTTGTTAAATAAGGCTATCTGAAATTTTTATACTACTTAAAATATAGAACAATAAGAACAAAATAACCAATGCTTTTGAGTGTTTATAACGGTAGCTACTGCACTAAGCTCTCAACAGGTATTACCTTGTTTAATCATGTCAAAGAACCATTCCAGGTGGCTGTTATTTGGACTAGCCTCCTGCACAGAATTCCTGAAGTGACAACACTAGAAATCAAAATGGAGTCTCTTGTGCCAAGGTTCCACACCACTAAAAGAAAACTGAGTTGTTACCTGATCTTCTTGAGAAATCGGGAAAGAACTATAACAGCCAAATGTCCCACACTGGCCAATTTCAATTGGCATGATTGTGAAGTTGCCTCTGTCTTACAAAAAAAGCAACCTCAAGTAACTAACTAGTTATATTTTTAATAATTTGTTCTCTTATTTTTGCCTTGCATGAAAAGTTTAGAAATGATCAATTCACTTTATCAGTTTATTTAGTTTTCCCTGTCTATGAACTCAGTCTCTTCTGTTCAGTCCATTGGAACACTTTATTTTTTATTTTGATTTGGTTTGGGGTTTTGTTAGTTTTTCTGTAGTTGTTTTGTTTGTTTTGGGGGGTTGTTTTTGTTCCTGTTTGTTTTGTTTTAATATATTTTATTTCTATATTTTCAATATATGTTTTCATTGCATTTTTGTGTATTTCAAACAATGCACAGTAATCATATTTAGACCCCCCTCCCCTATCTGAATCCCCCATAGCACCCCCTTTAGATTTCGTGCATTCTATTAGTTTGTGTCTCCAGATGTCCCTCGGTGTGAGTTCATCTACTGAAGCTTGGTCAGCTTATCTAGTGTCACTCCCTTTAAGAAGATCAACTCTCCTTCACCCAGCAGTGATCAGCTGCCAATAGTTCCTTAGCTAAGGCTGGAGCCTACTTCCCATTTCTATGCTGGAGTTTTGTCTTGGTTTGAGTTTGCATGGGTTTTGTGCATGCTGTCACCATTGCTGTAAGTTCATATGAGGAAGTTCCTAGACTCCTGGAAAACTCTGTTTCCTTGTGATCATCCACCACCCTTGGCTCTTACAATCTTTCTGCTCCTCTTCCACAATGGTCCCTAAGCCCTGGGTGGGTAAGGTTTAATATAGGAGTCCTATCCCAGGATACCCACTCTGCAGTCTCTTATTCTTTATGTTTTGGCCAGTTGTGATTTTCTGTGTTAATCACCCTCTGTTGCATGAGGAATCTTCATTGGTGAGAGTTGAGGGATGCATCAGTATTCTTTCTACTCCCTGTTCCACTATGTTCCATGAACCTTAGGTGTAGAGGAATATGTGAATATATATCTAGATGTCACTGCAGGAGCTGGGAAAATGGAAAGAAACCATGGAGGAAAAGGGAAAGAAGGAGCCTGAGAGAGGGAGTAGTAAGAGGCAGGTGTTACCAAGAGGGGTATGGGGAAAATAGGGGTATTTAACTGGGAAGAGAGGAAGGAAAGGTATACAAGTTACCACTGGAGTAAAGGTGAAGAACTAGCTCAAGAGTGGGAGGATAATCGGAGACAGGTATTATCAAAGAGGAAAAATGGGTACTTTAACTAGGGAGGGAGGAGAGAGGTTTAGACAGGGAGGGAGAGATAAATAATGTTTAGGTGGTGTGAAAAACCAGAGGTAAACATATTACTTCAAAAGCCTACTGAAAAATTCACATATAATATCTGAACATGAGTGCATGTATATAGCTAAAGGTTATATAATAAGAAAAGCAGTGCCAAACAGGAGAAACCTCCCTTCAAGTTGTTGGTCATGGTAGTCCATGAGACTCCCAAAATAGCACAAACTATTGCTACAGCCCTTGATTGCCTCCAAGAGCTTGAAGGTAAGACCCTATTGCTGAAGACAGGACATATTTCAAACACAGTATGTGGAGCAATGGAGTTGGAACTGACCTGGAAGCCTCCTTCCTGAAGACTAGCTCTCAAAGTTTCAGAGGATATTATGTAAGATACTAAGGGAGAACATCAATCAATGGTCCAAGCCCAGCTTTAAAGCCTAATAACCACAACAATGACCAGCACAGCAAACTATATCGACAATAGTGGCACTTTTATCTTGGGAGTATTCAAGAATTATCTAATTGCACTTAAAGCCAGCTCAATGGGAGGGAACTCATGTGTGGTCCTGTAAACACAGCCAAATAACACATGGCAGGATGGCAGGAGATCATAGAGAAAACTCTGCCACTGTTACATCCCTAGACAAATGTAATTTCTTATTGCATGCTAAATATGAATCCTTATATTTACAGACAAGTATACCTGCCACCATTCATCAAAGAAGCTTCTTTTTGCAACAAATGGAGACTGTTACAGAGTTCCACAACTGCTTAAATGCAGAGAATAAAAGTCTGTGAGATGCCTAGTCCCTAAATGACACATCTACAATGGAACGTTTTTTTTGTTTGTTTGTTTGTTTGTTTGTTTGTTTGTTTAATTTGAGACAGGGTCTCACTATGGCTGCAGTCTGGCCTTGATCTCACAAAGATCTGCCTGCCTCTGCCTTCCCAGAGCTGAGATTAAAGGAATGTGCCACCCTATCCTGCTGGAACGCTTTATTTTATGGAATGAAGAGTGCCTCATTCTTGAGTAGACTGCACACCATTTAAGGATCTTTTTTTTATATGAAGTAGTTATTTTGTCCTTTGAGAATCTTATGGAAACTCAGCAAAAATGTATTTTTATTTCCATTTTACATATCTGTTTATTTAAAATATATTGAATGTCTTTAGTGCTACAGGTACTATTTTAGGTTAGGGAACAGCAAAAAAAATAATAATTATTCTGTATTGGCAACTGATCAGTGCTAGGTGAAGGAAACTCACTTGGTCTTATTTAAGGGGGTGGCACTTGATAGGTTGACCAGGCTCCAGTGAATGGACTCACACCAAGGGACATCTGGGTACACAAACTTGACTCAATAAGCATTAACATATATGACAGAATACATGAAATACAGTGTGTGGGGGGGTTTAAGGGGGATGCAGATAGGGGAGGGAGTCTAAATATGATTAAGATGTATGAAATGTACAAAAACTCAATTTTTTAAATCCTTGTTCTCATAGTTTGAGATATAGCAAGGAAGAATAAATAATCAACATAATGGTGCATTTGATATTGTTAGGTGGAAATAAATAGGAAAAATAAAATATAGAACAGGGTAAGACAGATTGATAGTGTGATGAGAGCCAGGGTAGGGGACAAGGTTATAATTTTGATAAAATGCTACAGATGGGCCACAGTGAGAGGATTACATTTGAGTAAAGACTTCTAATTCAAGAAACAGTTGAGTGAAAAGTATGTGGCTTATGGTCACATAGCTAAAACCTAAGTCAGCCCAAATGTAAAGCTCAGCATCTGACTGCAGTGCTGTGCTCTTCACCACCACATCAAGGAATTATCTAGAGAGCTTGCTTACATGTAGATTCTATTTAGATGGGGCTGGCATTGCCTAAATAAAGGTGACTCTATCAGACTCAGTGCCACCACTGTCAAGTCAATCAACAACCTCCTAGGAACTTCTCCAATATTATCTTTCTTAAGTCCAAGTTGTTCTCTTTATGCCATTACTGTAGTTGCTGGTTAGTCTTTACCAGCTCACTGCTGATTCAAAAACAGTTTTTAAAAACTCCAGGTGGTATCCTTGACTTTGTCAGAGGGCAGAAATATAAGGTTTCATTGTGCTTGTATAGTAAACAAGTGAGCATGCTCTCTAAAATCTAACTCAAAAAACTAGTCCTTGACAAAGGGTAGGAATATTGCTGAAGTATTGAGACTTAACCCCTCTTGTAATTCTTTATTTCAACCTTGTGTTAAAAAGTAAAGACTACTTATAGGCATTACCCATCATAGACTGCAGTTTCTCCTCACTCACCTTCAGTTGCACTTCCTCTTTTGGCAAAACAAGAGTGAATTTGGCACAATTCTTTTCAGTTGAACTTTGGTCAGTAAGGCATACAAGATCTGTTATGTCTAATTTGCCAACATACTACAAAGATAAAAGAAAATATTGTTAATTTCCCAGGTGATATATATTTGTTTCAGCATGAAGGAAAATAACAAATTGTAAAACTTACTTGTACTTTGCATGATAGCCTGGTTTCCCTAATCCCAGAGAGTATTTAGAAATGCATTATGCTAGACCTGACTCATACAAATTTGCAAAGGCCAAATATTAAATTTTTGTGAATTTTGCAATTGATATAGTATTAAATTTTTAATTATATTAACTTACCAGTAAATACATTAAAGTAAAATTTATAATTATAGTCAAAACTCAAATTTTATTCTTTTCTGATTATATTACAATATTTTACTGTTCTCTATGCTCTTAATGTTATTTACATCTTTGATCTGTGTGGAAAAATACTATGTAACAGTGCTGCTGTGTTCTCTTTCCCAACACCATGTTCCTATCACACTGACAGATTGAATCAGTTGTGGTAGGAGTATTTACACTGTTAGTTGGTAAATCACTTGCAAATCTGTGCATAATTTATTGGATTGTTGATCATCTCAGAGGTAGCACTTTTAATAATAAGTGCCTTGGATATACATACAGACTTTGTTACATAGTCTTCTGGTTTTATTTTTTCCTTTATACTACTTCAAAAATGTTTTTTAAAAATGTATCTGTTCAGAGACTGTATAAAATCAAACCACAGGCCAAATTTGCCCTCACATTCACTGATTGCTCATCCTCAGTCTAACTTCAAAGAAAATGTTAATAATCTAGATGAAATTTCATGTTTTGTTGTGTCTAAAGTTGTTTCCTTGTAAATGGGGGGAGAAAGTTTACAAAATATTCTTCCAGAATCCAAAAAATAAAGTGTAATTCATCAAAGAAGCAGTTCACCGAAAATCAAGAAAAAGCATTCTGTGATAATCAAATGTCTATACAGAAGTTACAATAAAGAATATCAAACTTTTAAAAATTGTGTGCTGTACAGCTTTTATATCAGTTATATTTATGAATTTATTATGCACAATTTTTTTCTAAAAAGCCTTTATTCAACACATTTGTCATGCGCCATTGGTTATGAAACTCTTATTAAGAAATTTCTGCTATTCAAGTATTCAAGTACAATAAAAATATTTGTTCTGAGCAATTGATCTCTATGGATTGATCTGTATACAAAAGGCCAATTTTGTCCTCTACTATTTGAAAGAGCTGTCTGTAAATGGGTTTTCTTTTCTTTTCTCTTTTCTTTTCTTTTCTTTTCTTTTGAGTCAGGGTCTCACTATGAGCCTGGGCTGGAACTCACTATGTAGACATGGCTGGTGAATAAGGCTTTTATTCATTGTTTTTGCCAAATTAGCCCATTCTTCACCTCTTTCAATTTTTTTCAGTTGTTCTTGGTTACATTTAATGTAATTCATTGTACTATATCCTTATACATCTCCTTACTTAATTTTTCTGAATATCGTAAGACATAAAAACAGGCAAATGATTTTCAGAGCTATGTTTATATTGATGAGGTACAGAGTAAGTTTGATTTGGCCTGTTTATTTTCAAGGAACCAGGAAAAATTAAAAACAGAAGGAGAGGTACAAGGGAACAAAACCAGAATTTAAAATTAAGCATGCATCCTTTTCTGATGGGCTGTCTAGATCAGGCTCAATGGGTTTGGCTGCAACAAAGAGGAAGTGACAAAGGAAGAAGTGGCAGAGTTAGATAGAGCACTGATCCATCGATTACAGGAAAGGAAGTCATAGTTTTGTTTTTAATTGTAGTGTTGTAAAGGACCTTAAAGGTCAGCTATCTATCAGCTGCTCAAATCTGCCCCTTAGTGTGAAATCTTCCATGTTGTTCTCTAGCCTGCAGCTGAGCTTCTGTAACAACAGGGCACTCACGAGACAGGCACAGCTCTGCTACTCTCAACATTTCCCTTGTACTGAGCCACAATTTCTCTAGGTACTTTCCAGATCCATTGGTTCTGATCTCTTTTCTCTGGAATAACACTAAACAAATTCAGTGACTTTTTCACATGACTTCCTTTAAGCCTTTTAGATATGTAAAGGCAGATTTAAGTTCTTGCCTGTTATAGGCCAAATACATGCCTAACATTCTCCCCTGGCCTGTCCAATGTTTCCCTGGAGACTGTCACCCAGAAAACTTTCCCAAGCATCTTCATTCTTTTTTGTAAAAATCAGTAGGTGGGAAACTCTGCAACCTTCCATTGTGACCTCTTCCTGGCATCGTGGCTAAGAAGATTGATTAATTATCAAGACCTGGGTTATGCCCTCTTCTACTAGGTATATGATCTTGTACAATTCCTTTTTTAAATATTTTTGTGCATTTCATATACATCTTAGTCCTCTTTTTTTAAGACTGGGTTTCCCTGTAGCCCCAGCTGGCCTTGAGCTCACAGAGATCTGTCTGCCTCTGCCTCCCAAGTGCTGGGACTAAAGGTATGGGCCACCACACTACCTCCTTCCTCATCAGCACCCTCCCACAACCCCCCTCTTTGACTGGATTTCATGCATTCTGTCATTTATGTTACGGCCTATTGAGTCAAGTTAGTATGCCCTGATGTCCCTTAGTGCAAGTTCATCCACTGGGGTCTAGTCTGCCTATCTAGTCTGCCTATCTACTCCCTTAAAGAAGATCAGTTCTTCCTTACTCAGTAGTTATCAGCTGCCCAATAGTTCTTTGGGTAAGATTGGCCTCTGCTTCCCATTTCCACAGTTCTATGCTAGGTTTTTATCTGCTTGAGTTTTCATGGGTCTTGTGCATGCTCTCATCATTACTGTAAATTCATATGAGCAAGGTCCCAGGAGCTGTAAAACTCTATTTCCATATGGCCATGTACCTCCTCCCTGGCCCTTACAATCTTTCCACCCTCTCTTCCACAATGGTCCCTGAGCCCTGCATTCATTGCCCTCTGTTGCCTGAGGGAGATTTGTTGATGAGAGTTGAGTGATGCACTAGAATTCTCTCTATACCTTGTTTCACTATGTTCTATGAATCTTAGGTGTAGAGGTTCTTGTACAATTTCTTAATCCTTAAACTTGACTGTTTTCATCTACAGATAGGGATTAAATAGTGCCCAGTATATGTTTGTAATCTCAGCACTCAGGAGACTGAGGCAAAAGGGTCAGGAGTTAAAAGGGAGCTCTTCTGACCTCCGCTACATTGTACAACATGGGTGTACTCACTTACATGTAGGCAATACACTTATACATACAAAATAAATATAATAAATAAAAAATAAAAATAAATAAAAATAAAAGGGAGCCTACTTAGAAGGCCCTCTGCAAAAAAACAAATATATCAACACAAAATCTAAAAGGAAATTTGCAGAGTTGGTGTGAAAAGTAAATAGTTAATGTATGTAAATGTACATAGACTATGTGAGTGCTAGAATGTATGGGCTACTGATTGAAACAGTTCATATACTATCTCATTTGATTATTTGGATAACCTATGAGACACATGGTGAACTTCATCCTAAATTTAGAGATTTGAAGACAGAGTCTTAGAAATATCCTCTACATCTCTCTGTGTTATTTGCTCCTTCAGATTCACTTGTATCCTCTTATCACCCAACACTGCTCCATGAAGAGGGATGGATATGAACCTTGCCTTGCCTTTTGGCATCCTGTTGGGCTGGACCACTGGAGGCCTCTGGCACGTCAGAAGAGTGAGGAGAGTAAAGTAGGGTACTTAGTGCCCTGGAGACTATTTATTTAAATATCACTGAATACCTGGAGGTATTTAGTATAGTCGCTCCCTCAGTCAAAGATCACATGTCCCTCAAGTATGACCTCTCCCACTTTTCCCTCTCATTCCTCATGTGGTCATGCAGCACTGTTTTTAGCCTCAGAGTTCTGTTTGTGACTTCTCTATTCTTTTCATTGCTTTGAGTAATTACTACAACTTTCTTAGGCACTCTTCAAATTGCCCAATTCAGGATAGCATCTGTTTTCTACCAGACCCTTTTTTTTGACATTGAGCCACAGAGAGGTTAAGCAATGAGCTTGAGGTCCCAGTTAATAATGGCTGGACCAGCATAGCAAAAGCTAGGCAATCTGTCTGAGCACACCAGGTACCACTCACAAAATGGTACTGTCTCTTGCCATGTGGTAAGTGAACTCAGTTACTGAAAGTTTAGACCAAGGTCTTTGCTTTACTCATATTTATAGGAAATTGGAATGCATACCAAAAAACTTAGTTTTTAAAGAATTTAATATTTTAAAATACCCTTGTATAAATCTTATCGATATAGAACTCTGGGTGAAAGATGACCATTTTAAGTTAATTTTTATTTTTGTTTTTGTTCTTACCACTTTCAGCTAGTTTACTGCTAATAGTACTAAATGCTTACAGATAGAAAAACATAAAAAAGGCTTTCTTTCATTAGTTCTGAGCATAATAGTTCTAGTAATGTTCTAAGACATTGGGCTAATATATTCATGATGTAGAATATTTATTTTTAATATTTTTGTTTGCTTTGGTTTAGTTTCATTTGGTTTGGTTTTTTGAGAGATTTGCCTGCCTCTGCCTCCAAGTCCAGGAATTAAAGGCATGTACCACCATGCCTGGCCTGATTTACAATATTTATATCTAAAGTTGCTGGCTCAAACAAATCTTTGAGTCATATTCAAGGTAGGCAAACATTTGCACTAAAATAGTGTGTGTGTGTGTGTGTGTGTGTGTGTGTGTGTGTGTTGCTGAGGACCAAACCTGTGGGAGACAGGCTTGAGCCTAGGGTGGTAGTGCAACTGTCAGGGTCACATGGTTTCCAGGAATCCAGGCTCTGTAATCTGAAACCCAGTATGCTAATGAGGTGTCCTACCCGCTATTCTGTGATAGGACATTAAGTCTGTTATACTAATAGGATACTAAGTCTGTTATGCTAATAAGGTATCCTACTTGCTGTACTATGATAGGATGCTAAACCTGATATGCTAATGAGGTATCCTACTTGCTGTGCTGTGATTGGACCACTATCCCTATATAAGCTTGTGCCTTCCTGCAATAAACCAGACCTGTGTCACTGAACCTGGCCTCCTGTGTCTGAGTGAGGCTCCATTGACACAGTCTCCTCACCAGCCCTGGGGTCTGGGACCAGGCAGAAGCATGATCACAGGAGGCAGCACAGGGCAAGCAGAAGAGCTGCCTCAGCACCAGGCAAACAGAAGAGTGGCCTCAGCCCAGAGCGAGAGGGAGGAGCAGCCTTGGCGCCCATGAGAACGAAGGAGTGGCACCCACGAGAAAGGAAGAGCGTGGCCGCCGCTGGCAGTGACCGCACAAACCCAGGGCTTTACAGATGCTAAGCAAACACTCTACTACTGAACCATATCTCCAACCCCAAATATCATATTTTATTCTTGGAAAAAATGAAGCACACACAAAAGCTGAACCAAAGCAAACAAACAAATCTCAGGAGCTCTTCATTGTTATTCTCAAGATTTAGCTCTTGGAAGTCCTACTTTTTAGGGTATGCTTTTGTGTTTCCAGGAAAATTAAATGGTGACACTGTATGCTCTGGTGCTCTGGGACTCATTCTGTTCTTTTCAAATTATATCACATTCCATAACATAAGACTTGAGAGAAACTAGAGCTGTTGTTTGGCATTAATTAGTCTATATTCAAGTATCTAAATTTTTATTATTTGTTTTAATTATCCAGATCAGAAAGATAAGAATGCAAAGTTAAGCAGGCTAGCGAGATGGCTTAGCAATTAAAAGCGCTTGTTACACTTGCAGAAGGCCCGAGTTTGGTACTTAGCATCCACATAGGGATTCAACACCCTCTCCTGGTCCCTGCAGGCACAAGGCACACACATATAGTGCACATATGTGGTGCACATACATACATGCAGGCAAAACAGTCATACATAAAATACGAATAAGAGGCTGGAGAGATAGCTCAGTGGTTAAGAACACTGGTTGTTCTTGCAGAAGACCTGGGCTTGAATCCTAGTACCCACATGGCAGCTAACAACTGTCCTAACTCCAGTTTCAGGGGATCCGACAGCCCTCTCTGTCCTCCACAGGCATTGCACAACACACAGGCAATACACGTATACACATAATAAAAATAATAAATAAAATATTTAAAAAATAAAAAATACAAATAAGTCTTTAGAAAACAGAATACAAATTTGAAAACATGAGTTAATACACTCTGAGTTGCCCAAGGAATCGTTACCATTGATCTATCATGATTGACAGCCCTCACATATTTAAATTTTCTCAGCTGGATTATTTTACTAGAGTGTCTCTACTTTTTGGTAGTCGAAAAAAAATGAATAGTAGATAATGTGCTAATAGATTACTGAAAAAAAAACCAAGTCAGTTGAACATGTTAAACTACTTACTGTTGTACTTTTTTTGTCTCTGTAAAAGAAAAGTGTGGTTCCTCTCAATTCTGTCCAATAGTGTTTGTACTCCTGTGGGAAAGAAATCAAAACCACTATTTCATTAGTATATTCAAATGTTGTAGTCTCTATTTACATTTCTTAATCATTTGTATAATATAAATTTTTTTGTTTTCATATTCATGTTTTTCTTTTTTTCATCTGTCTGTTTCTTGAGACAGGGTCTCACTATGTAGCCTTGGTAAGCCCAGAACTCGATATGTAGACCAGGCTGGCCTTGAACTCACAGAGATCTATCTGCCTCTGCATCCTGAGTGCTGGGCTTAAAGGCTTGTACCACCATGCCTGGCTATTCACTCAATTTTTTTCCGATTAAAATTGTTAAATTAGGATGAAAACTAATAGATATCATTATGACATTTTTGAACTGAGTTCACCTAATTTTTTTTTGTTTTGATCTTATTGAGACAGGGTCTCCCTGTAGCCCCAGCTGGCCTGGAACTCACTATGTAGACCAGGCTGACCTTGAACTCAACAGTGATCTGCGTGTCTATGCCTCCCAAGTGATGGGGTTAAAGGCATGTGCCACCATGCCCGGCTTGTTCACCTAATTTTTATTGGCTTTTCAGTTGATTCTTGGTTGAATCCATCTTAAATTTATTTTAGGATAATGCTTGTTTAAATAGATAATTTTCAAATGTCTCTTTATTAAGGCTTTTTATGCAATTTTAGTAGACACTTACATGTGTAAGAGCAACCATTTAAGGGCCAGTGTAGGACAAAGGTATATCTGCTTTCTAGGGCAGATGAAAAAACCAAATGAATTAACAGAAGTAAAGCACTTGCAGAGAACTTGGCTCTTAGTTTGAGTTCAGGAAGTAGTACTATTATTGACAAAAATCAGGGAAATTTGAGAAACTGATAATGATAAAAATAATAAAATACCATCAAAGTTGAAATTTGAAGATCAAATTTATTTTTTTAAATATTTTATTATTTTTATTTTATGTGTGTGAGTGTTTTGCTTGCATGTATGTAAGTGCACCCATGCTGTGCAATGACTGTGGAGGACAGAAGATGGTATTGGATCCAATGGAATTGGAGTTATAGACAATTGTTAGCTGTCATGTGGGTGCTTGCGTTTGAACCCGGGTTGAAAACCAAATTTCATTCATGAAGTAAATGTTTTATTATTAATAGATTTGCATTACCCTGAGTTCTACAGAAACAGTGCTTTAAATAAAAAAATAATTAGTAACCTAGTCAGACTCCCATTTCACTCTAATGAATGTCTATTTAAATGAATATGAAGATGTGTTTATATTAGAAAACACTAGCAGTTGAACTCAAAGAATAAAATCTTTCTACAGCTTACTTTCATACTCAGTTCTTTCCAAAGTTATGTTGTTAAAAATTCCAATTCATAGGTGGGTGTGGTGGCACATGCCATTAATGCCAGCACTCAAAAGCAAAGGGAGGAAGACCTCTATGAGACTGAGGCTGCCCTGGTCTCCATAGCGAGTTCTAGGCCAGCGGGGGTTATGAGGAGACCCTTTCTCAAAACAATAACAACAAAAAGTCCAACTAATTTAATAGATGTGTTCATCATTCCTTCCTTTAGAGTTTAATAAGATGATTTTTGAAATTTATCAAAATATTATGGCTTATGTATTGAAAATGAATATAAGGAAGTAACAAAAAATTTTCCCCTTTTTTGTACTTATGAAGATACTTTCTATTATGGTATTTTATGCCCATTCAATATCAGCGTGCCATTTATCCTTTGTCTGGCTTGTAAAATGTCATTTCTTTAGAATGTGTGAACTTATTTTCTCAAACAAGGAACTCTATAACCCAATCTAGCTTTTATTTTTCTGTCTCTCAAGTTCAAGATCAAATTGATTCCTATCACAACCACTATTTTTCTAATATTCTTGGTAGAGCTATTTTCAAGTTCCCAGTCCACTCAGTGAATTATAATAGTAGTGTCTTCTGCTTTTCATCATTCTGTGACTATCTGATTTTTTCCTGGGTATATCTGACTGTGACTGATCTAGGGTAGCTTCATGTATGTGTCTAGGCCTTAGGGAGAAATGTGAAATGACTGGGCAAGCTAAGACTGGAGTCTACTCCATATGGCATCTCACCCATCTTGCAACCAACCAGGCTTCATTTACATGCTGGCATAAAGATTCCTAAAACTGGGGCTGGAGAGATGGTTCAGTGGTTAAGAGCACTTGCAGCTCTTTCAGAAGACCTGAGTTTGGTTCCCAGCACCCACATTGGGCAGTACGCAACCACCTGTAATTCCAGCTCCAGGGGATCTGATGCCTTCTTCTGACATCCACAGTCACCTGCATTCACATGCACACACACACACACACACACACACACACACACACACACACACTTAAAAGTAAATCTTTCAAAATGAAAACACTTTAAAAAATTCCTAGAAGAAAAAGGCTCAATGTTCAATTAATTTATTTGTTTTATGTGCATGTGTATATGCCTGCATGAGTTTATTTGCACCATGTGCATGCAAAGGCTAGAAGATGGTGTCAGGTTTCCTGGAAGTTGAGTTCCAGATGGTTTTGAGCTTCCATATGGGTGCTGGGAACTGAACCCAGGTCTTCTATGAAACCTGTAAATGCTCTTAAATGCTGAGCCATCTTTCCCACCCCAACTGGCACATTATTAATATGTTTCTGCATTTATCATATGACCTGGGCCAAATTCAAAGAGTAGAAAAGAGACTCACCTTCTTTGTAGAAAAAAGAGTCACATTTCAATGGGATAGGTTTAAATGAACTGATATATTAGTTCAGCAATCTCCCTCAAACACAAATTGCAACATAGGACAGGTATTATTGTCCATGGCAAGTAGCCTTTCCATTCTAGTCCGTACCCATAATCAAGAACTAGCTGTAATATGTGATTCAAATATGGGACCGTCCAGTAGACAGCTCCCAAAGGAGCAATTACAAACTGAGCAAAAAGTTATTCACTTTGTCTGAAATCCAGATGCCCAATATGTACAGATGACTGACACAAGCAGGCAAATAAAACAAGGAAATAAATATTCTTTTTAACACCATCAGAAATCTCTTTCCCTCCATTCACATAGGGCATAAAGTTTGCAACTTCACTAGCCCTTTACCTGAACGTTCTGCCACCTTCTTACCCTCTCCAATCTATTCTGTACTAGCAAACACTTCCAGAATGATCTCAGAAGAGAGGAGGACTGGGTAGGTGAGGCTGGGAGGCAGGATGCTTAGCTCACCACTTTCCTGTCCTCTCTCAGCTTAGTATACTAGGAGAGAGTAGGTGTTCTGTTTTATTTCCTGTCAGGTGGCAAGGGGCCTCCAAGAAGGTCAGGCTTGGGTCTCTCAGACTGACTCAGAGACTCAAGGTAGCTCAAAGTTACCTAAATCTAGGTTAAAGGTTAGCAGCTTCGCCTTCAATCAAAACCACATGTGATAGTCTTTATCAGTATTAAAAGTAAGTAAAGGATCTTCAGTCATGAGATTCCTGACTGTTCAGTTTCAGAATTGGGAAAAGAAAAATTCCAATGAAAGGTCACAAAAATTTAAAGTTGGTGGAAGAGAGAGAGGATGGTTGCTCATGGAATTTTGTGTCATAATGATTCATTTATTCTTGAAGGAGATAGTAGTAATTACTTATAAGTTTGTGAATATATATTAAACAATTGAACAATTATTACTCTGTCTCCTGTGTGGCAGTTTACTGTGGAGGAACCAAAAACAGCAGCAGAGAATTCAGTCTATTACAACTGATTCATAGAGTGGTTGAAGATTTGATATGTGTAATGTAACACATCACATAACATAAGACTGGCAACAGAGCAGATGTTCAATAAATGTTCGCCACTTGAACAACAGCAAAACAGAGCATTGCCCTGACAATCATATTATTGATGGGTACAGTTTCCATATAATCACAGAGATTTATATGTGCATGTGAAAGAGATAGTGATGGAGTCCAAAGATGTCTAAAATAAAGTTAGTATAATAGGACTATGTAAGAGGAGAGGTTATTTTATAGAACAGAATAATGAAATCTATTGTTATTCCTGTATAACATCACTCCTAAATATTTTTCTTTTCTTTTTTTCTTTTCTTTTCTTTTCTTCCTTCCTTCCTTCCTCCCTTCCTTTCTTTCTCCCCCCCTCCTCCTCTTCCTCCTCTTCTTCTTCTTCTTGTTTGTTTTTTTGACAAATGGTGCCCCTGTAGCCCCTGCTGGCCTGGGACGCACTATGCAGGCCAGCTTTCCTTGATCTCACAGAAATTCACCTACCTCTACGCCCTGGGTGCTTGGATTAAAGGTGTGCGCCATCATGTCTGGCTTTTTTTTTTTAACATCTTTTATATTTAAAAAACTTTGTGTGTATGTGTGTAGACTCATACATGCCTGCATACCATGGTATGCATGTGGGGGTCAGAGGACAACTTGCTGGAGTCCATTCTCTTCTTCTACCATGCAGATTCCTTGTAGTGAATTCAGTTCAGCAGGCTTGATAGCAAGGGCCTTTACTTGCTGAGCCATTTCTCTGGCCCATGAATATTTTTCTTACTTCACGATATTTTTTTAAAACTTCATTTGAGAAATTTGACTTCAGAAGTTGCTAACGTATACCAGCCCCATGATCAGGCAGGTGTTTTGTAAAATGAATGGGGCTGAATAGTCTTTCACACTGTTGAACTATCACAGATTTGACCTGCAATGAATTAACAAAAACATTTAACTGTATCTTAGGAGTTGGTTTGCCTTTTTTATTGTACTTTTTTAAAAAGGGCTTTTACATTCTATTCTATCAGGAAGCCTCTGCAATGAAGTAGGTCAAGACTATTCTGTATTTTAGAACTAAGGCAGGGGTGAGTAAAAATGCTATGGAAAAAGAATGTAGATATATTGTTTCGTGAATGTAATTATCAGTTTTGAAGTTTAACTGATGTGAAGCTTCATATTGAATGTAACTCCAAGATATTCTTGGTCGAAAACAAAAGAAAACACTAGAAGTCAGTATACCACTCTTTTCATTAGTCTATCCAGCCTCATTAATCTAATCTGTTATTAGAAAAAGAAAAGCTAGTATCATTTTTGTCAGGGCAAGGATTATGGAGGTCCTTCTTTATGTACATGCAGATTTCCAGGTGTGCTCTTAAGAAAAATCACAGAGGTGGTCAGCCACAAAAGAATGATACTGAGTAGTTATTCAGGGGAAACAGAAGTGAATAGGAAAGCAATCCTATAGATTAGTGGGCAGAACTAAGGAGAAATTATTAAATGGAGAAAGAAGAAAATATCAAGGCACTGAGTGGAGTCCATAGGCAGCCTGGAAGAAAAAATAAGTTATAAACAGCAATAGGCCCCATGAACTGCAGGACAGCCACAAACCCAAAGACAGAACTAGCTTCTATTTAGCATATAAAGATGAATGAAGGTCATAACCCTGAATTAGTTTCTGATAAGATCTGATGAACACAAGTAAAATTTGAATCATTGATATCTATGTATATTTTTATTTATAGAGATATTTAAATATTTTTAAAATCAATTTTGAGGGATAGAGAGATGGCTCAGTGATTAAGAGCATGTACTGTTCTTGTAGAGGACCCATGTTCAGTTACCAGTACCCACATCAGGCAGCTCATCACTGTCTGTAGCCCCAGCTCCGGGGGGATATGATGCTCGTGACCTCCATGAGGTATTCATGTGAACATACCTACACACAGACACATAAATTAATTTAAAATAAATCTTTAAAAAATTAACCCGATGACCACGTCTTTTGATGGTGTATATTTAGCAAACAGTTTTTTTCAACAATCATTTGTGTTGAATCACTGGAGTAAAGAGATTGATGTGAGAGCTCTAATTTATCACTACTTTAATAACCACCACCAACTTTGTATTTGGAATTTAAGGTTATTGCCTATTTTTATTCAATTAAATGATTTTGAAAATTTGCTGAACTTACTGTTGAGTTCATATGATAAAATTCCACTGAGGGGGCATCTGTAACATTTGGAAGCTACAGTCAAATGGAATTAAAGCTCAAGTTTGAAAGGCAACATTTTGTGAAGTACATTACAGTCAAATTTAAGTTACACTCACCGATAGATGAGGAACTTTCAACAGAGCTTACATGAGCCATAACTATTCATCTTTGAAATGAGCAGAATTATCTCTACCCAGAAGAGTTATTGTAAGGACCATAGTGAGAAGACATTAAGAACATATAACAATACCCACCAGAGTCAAACTTCAAGAAAAGTTGTCATATACTCCACTTGTTAATCACAAAATCCATGTACTTACACCAAAGAATAATTATGGATTTTACAAATGAGGAAATAAATTAAAATATTTAAAGGAATTTAAAGGAGTTAGACTGATTCTTGCCTTTGCTTATTTTCTTCATTAATATAACTAGCGAAGATGAGTTATATTATAATCCTTTATAACTAGAAACATTGGAATTTCCACTTGTGTCTCTCTATCTAACCCTTCCCTAACAAAATACTCCTACTTTTTTTTCTGTGAACAAATTAATTTGACTAAGAAAGGATGTTGTATAATGGTTTCCAAAGTGGGGGGCACATATCCCAAAAGTGTTTGAGATGAACCATTATAAAACATAAAATATCTACTTATAGTTATCTGTTTCATCCTAATTTCTTCTTGCTTATATTTAATAATTTACACAGAATATTAGTACTGAAATGCATGTTAGTATTCTCATATTAGCTATCTATGTTCAAAGTGTTTTCCTGGAAGAAGTGTGTATCTAAAAACTTTGGAGATTTTTTTGTATAGAGAATTATGTTTGAGAACGCAATTGAGATAACACTAAAACCTTCCTAAATGAGAGGACTGGTCAGAGAATTGTTACTTTGATATGTTATGATCACATTCTTAAGTTCAGGCTCATAGGACACATGACACACCTTTTTTAAATTGTAGTGCATCATAGATTAAATGAACTATGAGTTATTACCCTTACTTCCTTATTTCTAATGTTCCAGGAAGGTTAGAATTTTTCTTATTCATAAAAACTGCCGTGCCTTTTGTATTCAATTGTGCTTTAACTATCTAACATATCTTCCTGGCCAATCCAAAACTCCTAATGCTATAATTAAAGTAAATCTTCCCATGTATTTCCCTTGAAAGAAGTTTTTCCATAAATTCTTGACCTGAAATTCAGAGTCCTTCTAGAATTGTATTAAAGACAATATATCTTGGTGCATTTTCCTGGGGGCAAAGCTCTACAAATTCTTTTGAAATGCCTCAATAAAATACTTGTAGCAAGAGCCTCTTGTTGACCATAATCCCTCTATTGACCAGTTACTCTTCAGTTATATTTTCTCTAGCTTAGTGTTCTGAACTTCTTCTATAGAGATTCTATTTAGATTCTGCCCAGTCTCTCAATGTCATTTATCCCACTAGTTCCACAGATGACTTGGCAGTAATGTTCTTGGCTCATCTTGCTTCCAAATGTACCCTGTGCTTTGCTGCCAGTGTCATGAAAATCCCACTTATTTTCCTCAGCTTTTTTCCTCATGGTTTCTAATTTCAAGTACTTAAACACTATGGCTTTCCTTTGAGACATTTTACTTCTAGACCCCAAACTGATTTTAGGACATTAACAAAAAATATAAAATAAATGTAAATGAATCAGAAGAAAGAGAGTCTAACCTTTATTGTGAAGCAGATGTTCTACATATTTATCATTTTAATCTTTGAAACCACCGTGTAAGTAGACATGTAAATCTCTTTCTGACTGACATATAAGGAAAAGGCACTTTGCTATGAATTCAAATGTATAAACAAATTAATTTCATCATATACATTTCATAAGTAGATATAGTTCCATGCTGGGGATTGAACTCACGGCCTCATGCATGCTAGGCAAGTGCTGGATCATTTAGCATTATCCCCAGTCCGCATAAGAAATATTTAGTGCGTAGCTTATTTTGTTTCAAAGCATACTTTCTAAGAAAAAGTAGAGCAATTGGGTAAGAAGTCATAACCACTACTAAGCTGAGCCTCTCTTCATGTTTGGTGCACATGGGGTACACAATAAATGTTGCTTGAACAAATAGATTCAGCACTTACTTATCCCAGATGTAGTAGAGAATACACTTTAAGTGATAATGTAGTCTATTGGAGGCAAAGTAGTATGAATTTGCTCCTTTTTCTTTTTTACAGTTGAAGAAACTGAACCCAGAGAAGGTTGAGAAATTTTTACAAACTCACAAGCTATACATGGCAAAACCATCAGGAGAAGGCATGCTTCACTGACATTCTAAAATTGTAGGGTTTTTTGCAAGCCATACCAGTAGCATGCTTTCTTTAAACATCTAAAAGATCTTGGTATCAAGCATAATTATTATAAATACTTTAGAAAGGTATGAAAGATATTCAGTGAATGATCAAATTAAAATTACCAATTAGAAACTTACTTTTGAAAGTTCATTTCTGGCAAAGTGTAACCATGTAGCTAATCTGTGTAGGATCAACAAATTACAATATACCTGACAAATATTGCTAACACAGGTCTAACACTCATAACAAGAAAAATTATACTTCACTTTCAAACAACAAATGATTTCATTTATATATGTAGAAAATATGCATGTTATTCATAGCCATATACATAATTTTCCACGGTGTTAATGAATCCTCTGAAAGAATGCTTTATTATCATCACTGAACATTTCTTAGGCCATTTCTGAAAACAAAGTTTTGTTAGCTTCAATCAACATTAAAATTTCAATAAATTTTACCTGAATTAACGCCTTCTTTCCTTCTTTAGTACAAGTTCATATTTATTTCTCTAATTTTAAGTTGTCCACAATTATAATTCTAAAGGCAATGATTTTAGGTAACTACAGGTTTAATTTTTAAAGTTAAAAATGTGTGGAAAGCTTGGTGAATGTTTTAGAGCAGATATATTCTTTTTAACTTACTTTACTTACTACCACAATAGTACTCTAAATGCTCTCTTTTAAAATCACTATTTTGAACAATATTTTCAAAAAGTGTAACTATACATAATATTAAACAGTATCAGTTTTTCCACAGTTCTTATGAAAGTTTACCATTTCTTATGATTTGATCTTTATATTATAAACATCAATATAACTAAGAGGAGTATGTTTATGTTAATCATAATATCATCTTATTTTAATGCTATACATTGTCACTTAAGAATAGTAGTAAATTGTGGTGAAAATATGAGAGACATTCTCTGTCCAAAGCCAAAATCTTGTGTGATGTTTAAATGAATTCTTAAGTTCATTGAATTTTTTATATTAATGGCTTAATGTTAGAAACATATTATACTTACACATATGTGCGTACATTCATAAACCATACATTGTATCTAAGGTATATAAAATTAGAATCATTTTTCACATGCAAGGAAAAGAAGGGGATATATATATATAACCCATGCAGAAACAAGGAGGCTTCTTCACATCACATTGCCACGAGATAAATTTTATATTAAGTCCAACTTTCAGGTTTAACATTGTTGTCTACAGACTTACCTGGTATTCTGACTGTTTGACTAATAAAAAGCCTTCAAAGTACAAGGGTAGAGCGGTAATCTTTAATCTTTCTTGGAAGATCTTTCGAGGGGCTGGTTTGGGGGGCTTCTTAGCCATCATACCCTCGCGTTCGTGTTCACTTTGGTTTCAGTTCTGTCCAGTCTCAAACAAAATGATACCTCCGTTGTGTGAGAGGAAAGGCAACTGTTCAAAGAGGAAGTCCCAACTTGCTTTTTAACCACAAACACTACCACCAACAGGACACACACACACACACACACACACACACACACACACACAC